GATTTTTATGTAGATCAATGGTCTACGAGTTTCGCCACCTATGCCTCGCACTGCACTGTATAAACCCGGTCATATTTATACTTCTCTGTAAAGGGGCGATCTGTTTTTAGTTTTGACGAAATGTTATGAGGAATGCCGAAATTAGCATGGGGATGTTTTGGTGAACGACGAAGGGATATTAACGAAAGACGAAGCATTTATCCAAATCGTCAAAGGTTTTGCCGGAACTCAATCAGTTATGGCGAATAGCGAAGGTAATACCAACTGACGAACTGTGGAGTGGGATCAGCATTCCGTTTTGCCCATATGCTAAAGGTTTTGCCGGAATGCCTCTCACTGGCGCCACCTATGTGCTGATCGGACGAATGGGTTTTGCTGATTGGCCATCGAACAACGCAAAAAGGTGTACTAGGATGGGGGCTACTTAAAAACATTGTTGTGCTGGTGTTCCCCGCCCACAGCTAATTGACCTTTAGGTAATTGGCTAATTGGCTTTAGGGAGCTCTTGAAGTGATTTTGAATCTGATGTATTTGTTGGTGTTGCTGACGCCTGCTTCACTGACATAAAAGCTAAAAAAGCATACTCAGCATCGCAAAAAGTGGGGGGTCGACACCTCCAGTTTTCAAGAGTGGGGGGGTCACGACCCCCCCGACCCCCCCGTCGGCGACGCCCCTGTGTTATATCAATGGGTGAAAGATGGTGTTTGCTTCATTCTGCCATTCGCGCTGTTTTTAACTTTAAATTATGCTAAAACATTTACGGATGAAATGTTCAGTGTCAAAAATTGATGTGTCTGCCGTGTACTATATTCCCACTTAACATGAGCGCGTGATAAACATTTTATGTACCTCGAATTTTCAAATGATAAAGATGATGAATCGGAGGATGCTGAAAAGCAAAAGCTCATTCCAATATTTGGACTACTTTACGATTAAAATGTTTACATTCCTGTCATCTTATTGATCATTTATTTGTTCTTTTTCATGAAAATAACTTAAGGCGTTGAGAACCGAGGTAATTTCTATCTACCGTGCCTTAACTTACCAGCAACAGCAATCTATCTACGCCCTACGGTGGCAAGGGAGACTGTGAAAGAAGCGTAAGATGGATTCTAAACAATTCTTTTGTGATATACTGAAGGGCAAAGTGCAGAGAAGAGCGTACAAGTCCTGTTTTGTGCCAGGCTGTTGCAGTAGCACTTATGAAACTCCGAAAACGATCTTCGTTCATGTCCCGAACAACATTACCCTGAGGAGATGATCGTCTGCAATAGCAGGAAGAGCTGATGCAAGTAGGGGAGAGCGGGGCCAATTGAACCACTTTTTATATGTTGACATGCACAGCGAGATCTAGTTGTCATATCGAAAAATGCACAATGCCATGAAAAAATATGCTCTTTTGGCTTTATTTTAAGATATGTAAAATTATGTTTCAAACATTTTTTTGCTGCCAAACCCATGCTATAAAACAGCTCTACGCCCGTTTCAAATGACCCCGATGCGAGGGTCAATTGAACCAGCCCATGGGGTCAATTGCACCTATCCTTAACAATGGGATGTTTTCCTCTTTAAGGCCACTTTCTTAAGGAGATATTTTGTCCGGTTTACTTTTCCAAATGCTACATTCAATAGGTCGTTGGAAAGCTAAAAGTGCAAAGTTCCTCATAATAGGTGACATAAAGTACATAGACTATGGTAAAATGGGCGGATGAGAAAAATGAGAAATATCTCAGGCTATAGTGTGCTTTCAAGCAAAAGGCTGGAGAAAAAGGGGTCAAAAATTGAGCTCTATTAAACTACTATTTCAGTTTAAAAGCTCATTTCAAAGGTGGACTATTTCCTTTAATGTTTACAGCCCCTGAACAATAACCATTGCAAAGGTCACCGGGGTCCATTGAAACGGCCTGTGGCCCTGTTTCAACTGACCCTCAGAGAAGCGTTTCAATTGACCCCATCCGCTCCCGCCATCTCGCACGCGCCGTAAAGCACATGTCAAACGAGCTGGAGGGACGGCATCATGCTGAATGAAGGGCCAAATAAGGTGTTATTCCGGAGCCAGGAGTTCTTCTTTCAGCAAACAAAGGTATATGAGATATCACAAAATATTCATAAGAACGATTTCTCCCAAACGCCCCTCAAAAACACAAAAACAAGTGTCAAATCAAAATTACCGTCCGTTTGCCGCCCAAACGCCGTTGACAAAGGAAGTGGTCGAGCGCGGATGCGCAGTGGTGTCGGCAACGCCATATGTTGCATACTGTTGAAAATAAAGCCATGTTTCATCTGACCCCGTGTTTCAACTGGCCCCGCTCTCCCCTACTTTGAAATCCACTATCAAGTCGGTGCTATTGTTGTAATGATCACTGTGAGGTGAGATATTTTGTGCAAGGGTTGAGTGTAATGCCCAGGAAATGACCTCCATTCGCCCCCTGACCGGTCAGGGTTATAAAATTTGAGTGGATGGCGGTCCGTTTGGGGTTCAGATGTCAATTGTATTTTGTTACTGTCAAGCAATACATGTTTGCTGGCAGCGAATGTGTGTAACGTCATTTTTCGAAACAGAAGTTAGAACTGTAACGGCAGAGTGCTTGCTGGTCTCATCGTAAGTATTGTAAGTGTTGTAAGCAAAAGCATTGTCAATATTGTAAGTATTGTGAGCATTGATGTATGGTAGATATCACCTCACATGATCTCGGCTCAGATAACCCTCTCCGGTGTCCCTGTCAGTAAATGGCACCTGGATCATTACAGATAAGATAATTTGTCATAATTCTTAAAGAATTGGGTGGTTTTGACTCGTTTACTCGAGGTGCAGGTCGCATTTCAATACTTTTCCATAGGCTTGCAATGTAAAGGTCACGACTCTGACCTAACCTCAGGTCACAGATCAAAATTCTGAGATATACAAACGACACATACTGCAGGTACTGTTTTGAAGACTTGATGAGAGGAAATAACTTCGTGAAAAACTCAAGCTCTGACGTGTTTGCAAACTTTTCTGAGGTGGGGTCAACAAACCCGCTCTGGTTACCTGACCTGACCTGACCCGGCATTTTTTTTTTTTTTTGCTGAGATGTGCGCAATGAGCATTTAGGAAAAGTCACCAAATATGAGCTGAATGTCTCGCGGCGTTTGGCAATTGTACAAGAAAATCCTGAAAGGTCTCCCCGTCCGAAATAAGGTTAATGTGTATATGAAGAGTTGCAGATGCCAAACATACCCAGATCTAAGACTGCAGTTCCCAGCGCCGCTGCAAACGTTTTAAAACAAACATACATAGGACATACAAACATGTTTTTTGCATCTGTTTTGGATAATAGCAACTCATGGCGCCATCACCCGCGATAACTGTTAGGATTTGTGATATATTTTATTTAGGCCATTAGTTTGGCTGTAATGTTTATTAATAGTTGGGCGGAGTTTGGTAGTTTTTTATTTAACTTGTGGTATGTTGTGCTGATTGCGGGTTGTTCAAACCTTTCAATGTAAGGACCTTATTGAACTCAACCCTACCCCTACACTACCCTACATACGACTGGACGCTTTCCAAGCCCACAAGCATCACGACGCCGAGATGGAATGTAGCCGAGAAATCACCCTCGCCATCTGCTCTAGAGCTAATCGTGTGGGGCGGCGTGTGGGGCGCCGCTTAGCCTATGGGGGTGCACTTCTAGTGGATGGGGGACGGGGGTGCACCTGCACCCCTTTCATATGGAAAGTTACTTCCCTGATTACAGCTCCCCGTATTACACCTAATCAGGGAACGGCCAGCAAACGAAGGAACTATTTCTGGATGACAGGCGAATAACCGCTCACGCAAGGAGCGGAGCTCCGCCCCGTCCAAGTGGCCAACAAAGCAGAGACAGAGGCAGCATCACATCTTCCATCAAAGAACTGGTTTCTGGCTTGGAAGATGAGCTCCATCTTTGCATCCGAGTCGGTGCTGTCAGGAATCAGCTGGTCTAATGGAGTGAGAGTAGTGAGACGACTAGCTTGTATCAGAGCTGCCTGGTCTTCGTAGCATTTGCACCGATTCTTCTCGATCGGACTCTGAATTCTGTCCCTCCTGCGTATTACTTGAGGCATTGCTATGTAGCTAAGTCTTTGGCAGAGTTTCATTATCCATGCTTTGCAAACAGTGCCATAACAACACAGTTAATTAATCACCAAGCTTCTTTGCAAGTTCCAATACAGTTGAATCGCACGCGATTTGAGTGCAAAAATCAAGAAAAATGCCAACTTGTTCCCGTAAAATATTTTGAATATTGACCTAAAAAAATGAGTAATTTCCAGATAAAATAACAGCGAAATCAGTTTTCGCTTGCCAATAAAACTCACAGATATTGAAGCTCCATTATTAAAGGAACATTTTAGTATATGCCATTCTTGATAAAACTTCTTAGCCACGCAATACCAGCGCAAAATAAAGAGACACTGAAATCACGACCAATCACTCCGATTTACCATAGGAAAATACATAGAAAATGTACGTCTCAACTGCGCCAAATATACGGACAGTTATATACCTACATGTGACGTCATGATTAGCCCGACCAATCAGAAGCAAGTCGTTTCAGCCACAAATAATTAATTTCTGAACTAACTAGGCATTTTTTAACAAAGTGATTTTAAATTAAATCATTAAAAATTCTGAGCTTTTTTATTTTACCAAAACATACAGAGCATGCAGATAGGTCCCAACCCTATTGGCATTTCGTCAAATTGACCTTTCGACTAATTGACTTTTCGACTAATTGACATTTCGACAATTTTACATTTCGATTAATTAGCATTTCGGCGAATTGACATTCCGACGCTTTGTCGGAAAATTGACATTTCGATTAGTTGTCATTTTGGCAAATTAGCATTTCGGCAAATTGACATTTTGACTTTTAGCACTTCGCCTTTTTGACACGTCGGCAAAAGAATAGGCATTCGGCAAAACGCAGTTTGGCAAATTGTCGGCTGTAACCCGGCTGGCCGGCGCTGGTGTGTTTCAGACCGCAGTTCGGCCGCCTGGTGGCGCTACACACGGCCCAACAGTTCCTGGACGCTGTGGACCAGGAGCACCAGGATGTCACCGTCATCGTGCACCTGTACGACGAGGTGCGGACCGGTCGGAGGGGCCGGCAGCGGGCGGGAGGGCACCCCTCCGGTACCTGTCTGGAGCACAGCTCACCAGTGCACAGTGATGCGTTGCCAACAATGCCCAAAAGTCAAGTTTACCAAACCGAGTAAATCGCGATATGGCCAACCAGAAAAGTCTGAAAGGGCCCAACTTTTTTCATCAACGGCTCTAGGTCAAATTCTGATGTGTATGAGTGTTGTGATCACGGAATGAGCATTAAAAGCTATTTTGGAAAAATAGCGCGATGGCAAAGTCAAAAAGTTTGAGGGACGAAACTCTCATTTTTTGACAAAACGCGGTATATCTCCTAGAAATCAAAGAACAAAAATTTTCCAAAATATGTGTCTGTTACATTGGTCCCTTGCCTATGATATGCCACCGTTAAAACCCGTATCGGTCTTTTTGTTTTTACTCTCCGCGAGAAAACGCAACAAGGCTTTTCGCTTAGTTCATCATAATGATCATAGATGGCGTTGGTGTCGAACGACCTGCCCCGTCTGAGGAGGCGGTGTTCCTGTCGCCTATGGGCCTTCTGGGACTTTAAATGGGCTAAACACAATCAGCCTTCAAGCCCTCTTGTGCGCCTGGGGGTCACGAGGGAGGGGATGGGTCTATGCCCCCTTATATCAACATACCTGCTGGACTTTAGCATTGCAGCTATTGCAGAGTATGGACAAATATGAAAGCCCGAATGTCAACGGCGACATCTGTCCATCTAATGTGGTCCCGGATGGAACATCCAGTATTTCACCACATCTCTCATCTCTGGTTTGAATTCGGCAACGCTCACTAATGAAAACTTGGCAACACTGGCCTGTGACAGGTAGCAACGGATGTTTTCCATCTCATCCGCTGACGGGAGCTACTTGCGACAAGTGCTGGTACCATCCATGTCAATTCAATCGCTAGTTTTACCATAACTATGTAAGTTCTTCATTACCAGTGTGTTCTGAGTCGCTCAGGCTATCTGGGCCGAGGCAGCGTCAGCCCTCGCCAACAGTTATCTATCATTGTATAGCAATCAGCGATGACTGTTTCATGTAATTTAAAATATTTGATTTTTTGATTATACATACAAAACCTTAAATATGTATATTTTAAACATCTTACCTATAGGTTTTTGACATTTCGAAAACAACGGAATATAAAAGATAGAATACATACCGATGATCTACTTTAGAAAGTTCAAGCCTGAAGTCTTCAAAAATAGCCAAGTTATCCGCTTTTATATTTTACCAGTATAACGCCTTTTGTGGTGACTAACGGAGCGATCGAGAGGGTGAGCCTTGCACGTGCGAAATCTCGAGGGGTATCTACAAATGACTTGTGCACGGCACCCTACTAATCGGTCTCTAGCGATGTGCCAAATTTGAGTACAATCGGCCCAGCCGTTCTCGAGATCTGGAAGCGGCACCCTGCACGTGCGCACGTGCAAAATGGGTCCCAACTGACTTATGCACGCACCCTACTAACCGGTCCCTAACTGTGTACCAAATTTGAGCGCAATCGGTCGAGCCGTTCTCGAGATCTGGAAACGACCCCTGCACGTGCGCACGTGCAGCAGCACCCCAACTCTTGCACATGGATATGCAGTGCCTAGTGGGTGCCTACTTACATGCCAACTTTCAGCGCAATCGGCCAAGTAGTTACCGAGATATTGCAACAATTACAAAACTGACACCTCTTCGTTTTGCACGTGGCACGTGCATAAGGGGTCACCCACATGCATCGGGAATAGTCCAATACTTGGTAGAAGGAATGAAGCTACCCCACAAAAATTACCGCGTGTAAATCGGTCAAGTGGTTGCTGAGATATAAGCCTCGCAAAAGCGTCCGCACGGCCGGCCGGCCGGCCGCTCATACTCAGAAATTTCCGTTAAAGGTAGTGTGTCAGCTTTCTTGGACCATATGGAGTTAATGACCCGGATAAGGAGAACCGGATTTTTAGAACTTATCCATACCTTCAAAACTCATGGAAACGTCTTAAATTCTTCAAATTTTGAGTACCCCAGTGCGGAATTCGCCCCGACGGGTTGTCGGTCGTACCCCAACCACATTTCACACCACTATGAACAATAAATGCACACACTAAAATCGCTATTACCGATGGGCTCATCCAATCAAGTTTCGATAAACCCGTTCATCATCATCTCCTGCGGTTTCGAACACGCCTGTTAGGTGGCTTCTGATGCTCGTCGAGGTCGGAATTTCCAAATACGCGTGGTGCGTCGGGCCGCGCGCTCTGACTTCGGCCAAGAAAAATGCGTCAGCTGATCATTGTCCTTTCTGCCACTTGCGTGTGGTGAAATGGGGTCATAACTTAAGAGACGGCTGTTTCATGTCAATTATTTCACATAAAATCATATTTCAAACCATAAATTAATGTTCGACAGCCAAATTAAAGAAACAATACCAATACAGGCTTACAGTTTAAGTTCCACATTGTGTTGTATACGATTAGACAGCTGATAACTCATTCCCGTACGTCGTAACTCTATAATGACCCTTGCTTATTGTCACATGTGCGCCGCATTCGCGATTGTTGCCGACGCCTGTTTGCAGGTCAGCCCACTACAGTTGTTATACATATCGAAAAACCGATAAACTTTTAGGCAAAAAAGGCACTGTTCCAGGCCCATTTTTGATTTTTTTTTTGCGATATTATGTAAAACAGAAGCTTCTTATCCTAGGAAAAATAAAATGGGAAATCATTGGAAGGTGGCACACTACCTTTAACCCTCGCGGGCCCGGGGGGGGGGCGTTTTTCGCCCCCCCCCCTGGCGAATATTTGCGATTGCTCCCGAACGCTTAGGGATAGGGAAGGGAAACTTTCAGTACCTTTTCTCCAATCAATTTGGCATCTTCTGAAGTAAAAAATTTGGACCTAGCCCCCTTGATGACGTCACAGGGTCGATTTTTCTAGACCCCTGCACGGCAAACTTCGGCGTCACAGACGCAAACTTCAAATAGCTGCTAAAAATAGAGTTTTAGAGATAAAGACAAATTACGAGCACGGTTGTGTAGCGTTTGACCTAGAGAAAAATAGAAAAATAGTTTTGGTGACCTGAGGTCAGAGGTCAGGTCAACGACCCCGAAATGTGATTTTAGTTTTTCGCAAATAACTTCGACAAAAATGGTCCTAGAGCTTCGGCAGTGGTACCATCGCATTCGTCTTGTCAAGCCGCGTCGAATGATATATATTTTGTTTGGAAAAGGTCAAGTTTCATGTTGACCTCATGTGACCTCGAATGACTTTTGGTTGACCTTGACACATGAAAGGTCGCCTATGATGGATTTGTACCCGCTGATCACGAATCTGTCATCTATTTTCCTCAAAGCCTTCATTTAGAGCTTCCGGATGGCAAAATTGTCTTATTTATTATTACTAGCTTGAATCAGTGAAATAGCCTCTACCAAGGATACTCTTCAGTGACGTTGACCTTTGAGAAGCCTTGTATCGTAAGATGAACCACAAATAGGGAACTGATAAGCCTCAAATCATTTCAAAACATCTTGGAAGTTAGCACGCAAGATGTACGAAAAAGTGCAAAGTTTGAGGTCAATTTTGAGCGTGACCTTGACCTTGACCTTTAATTTTGAGCACAGTTTCAGAATCCTCAGATTCTCTGCTTTCGTTTGACACTCAATTTTGCCGGTTTGATGCATCTTGCCGTCCTCTAGAACGCTTACCTTGAGATCACTACACATGTGCCGGCTTTTGCCTTTGACCTTGACCTCACCTCTGACCTTGAAAATTGACCTGAGGTCAAAAATTTTAGGTGCTTTAGAATTGTCTTGTAAGAACCTTTCGTTTGGTATCGCTTTTGTTTCCGTAACTCCCTTATTTACGGAGTTAGACAGGGGGGGGGGGCGAAAAACGCCCCTCCCCGGGCTGCGGTGGTTGGGATTACCCCCCGGGCCCGGCCGGGTTAATCTAAGGAAAGACTCGGCTCGCTTCGCTCGCTCCGAAATTACAGGCACTGTTCACCCGAAACAATGAAACACATTGTCGTCAATTCAGCTGACCTGCATCACTACGCCCAGCTGAGATTTCGTTGTTGATTGCGGGCTCGATCGACGTCAGGTATGCCCACTCTAACGTTGGTACCCACTTGTAAGATGTCCTCCGCACTCCTGGCCCTTCACCGTTCCCTGCTTCTATCCTCAGGATACTGAAATCCTTCTCCTCCACGCCGCAATCCCCCTCCGGGCTGGACAGGCAACTTTATCTCATGCGGGCTGCTCCCTTGGAGCGGCACCGCTGCTCCCGAGGGAGCGCACCCCGTAGCCGGGTGCAGTGAGTGCCTTGGGGCTGGGTGGCCTGTCCTTATCTGGACGGGGGTCTCGTGTCTGACATTACTTTTACCTTACCGTGTCGTGTCTGACATTACTCTGACCGTACCGTCTCGTGTCTGACATTGCTCTGACCGTACCGTCTCGTGTCTTACTGTGTCGCCTCCTATGTGACCGTACCGCCTGGTACCCGACCCTGTATGACGATGTCTTTTCGTGTCTATCGTCAGCGCACTGCCAGCTGTCGCACGATGAACGATTGCCTGGCTACCATCAGCCGTCTTCAGCCGCTCTACAAATTCTGCAAGCTGCGCGCCTCAACGGCCGGGGTCAGCAAACACTTTGTGAGTCGGGACACAGGCGCATGGCAAGTGGACTCAATTACTTGGCCAGAAGGCTCATTTTTTGTAATTCTCCTTCGATTCTGTGACTGCTCACTTTTTGTCACCTCCTCTGGCTCAGTTGTACAGATGATCCTTGTGCGCGGACGTTTTGGTAAAAGGTTAGCGCGACTAGCTGTGATTTGTTGTAGTTGGCGAGCTGTGACGGTGCGGTGTGTGATTGTCGGCGGGCGCGGTGCCGCCGCCTGTGTTTGCACACCCCACCACCGGCGCCTGACGCGGCGGCTCTGACACGCCGGCACAGAGCGAGACGGGCGTGCCGGCGCTCATCATCTACAAAGGCGGAGCGGTCATTGGCAACTTCGTACGACTCGAGGACGAGCTGGGGGACGACTTTTGCTCCTCCGATCTGGAGAACTTCCTCATAGAGTAAGTGGCGACTTTTGTCCCCCGGGTACCTTCGTCATTGAATGTGTGTCGACTGTCGAGTAAGTGTTCTTCCTCAGGCTGGAGGAGCGGCGCGCTGCACACAAACACACACGCACACGCGCACGCGCACGCGCACGCACGCACACTTTTAATGGCTGGATAAACCTCAGCACATTCTCGTTTTCACCTCGAGACGGCTTTACCACAGTGTACACATAACAAACGCTGTAAAAAAAAAACTTCAAAACACGCTTTCCTAGTAGCACATTCATCTGCCCTGCCTGCTCAGTTCGGAGGTAGCCTAGATTTTTGCTTGAGTCGGCTGCTTCCGGCCCTGCCTATGCCCCCGCGCCCGCGCCGCCTCGCATCTCAGGGCGGCTATCCCCGCGAAGCGGCGCCCCCTGGCCACAGGCGGTCCGCGCGACGGCGGCCCGGCCTGCCCAGCAGATGCTGGGGAGCCGGGCAAGGGTTAGCCCGGATGCCCGGATGGACGGGCGGGAGCGGCTCACACGCACAATGTAGTGCAATCACATCCGGGTTCATACCTATTATATATAGGCTATAGCTTATAACCGTCAAAAGAAACAATTTTGAACGGCAAACAATTTTGTCACACATTTGTGGCATGCTCTGTGGGCCGAGGTGAGCTAAGGAGCCAGTTGGTTTCGCTCCCTTTTTTGGCCTACTCTTGTCGACCACTTAGCATTAAGAGTTCATTTCATTGTTTCTGTACAATAACCACATGAGTCTGTTCCTCTTAATCCAATTTTGTTGAGGAAACTATTTGTTCCCACTGTTCTTGTAACGATTTTATACCTAGTTGGCCTATATGTACTGCTGTGGAGTGCTTCTGAGGCTTCTGTAAATTTCCTTCCAATCGATTCGACCCAGCCTACTCTCCTAGGTCAGCTTCCATGTGTTTCTGGCATCTTTCACTCTTTCTTGTCTAGAGATGTTTTTATATGTGGTGTGCCCGTGTTTGTAGAAATAATCCAGCGGATAATACTTGGTCAAAAAAAAACTTCACCTTTTCTCCCCATTCCTTCCATTCTCTATGCAAGCTACTATTTAGCGTTACATAATCTAGAAAAGTTATTGCAATGTTATAGGTCCATTTCATTCCTTCCAATCCTAGCAAGGATCCATCTGTTTTTAATAAATCATTCATCGTTCTTATAGCTTTGGCATACCATTCTTCAAGTTTTAAACTTGGTAGCGTCTGAAAAGAAGATAGCAGTGGAATTTAAGACACTTATCTTCTGTGAGCATATTTCCTGGAAGTTGGCGAATGTCATCACAGGGTCTTTCATAATGAATGTTATTTTTAAAACAGCCATAGCTCAGGTGATAAACATCACAAAGTTATTGTCAATACCCGAATGAAATAACAAATCATGGGAAATTATGTACACATGACTCGCATTTAGGTACCCTTCATGGATTTCGAACTGTGTCGCCTCCACTGAACTCTATAATGTGGAACGCGCATCGGCCGCCAGATGGTGTCCAACGGTGCCGCCATGTTGCGCAGACCAGGAAGCGGCCGCCGCCTGTGTTGGGGAATAGGGAATTCGGGACCTCGATTTACGTTTGCGGTCGCTGCATCCGTTACGTTCAAGCTATGTGGACACGGAACCCGGCATCTTACGCAGAATTGAGTGGAGAATAAGATGAAATCCTAAAAAATTCTCAGATACAAGGAACTAATACGTTAAACCCTTATAAGTCAATGGGGAAATATGAAAATTGCTATTTTGGCGCCGAGAATGATCTGAAACTATCTCAAGCATATAGAATCATGATTTCATGCACTCCTTGCAAGGTTCTATGCTTCATATTTGCATTGTTGCCCTTGCGTGACGTCATTTGTGACGTCACAAGGGTCACAGTTTTTCTTCAATAACTCCCGATCAAATTGAGCTAGCGAGTCGGGAAAGCGACCAATGGACATAGGAAGACCTGCCGAATCGAATGATATGCGACATGACCTCTTTCGACCAGCTTCGTGACCTGGGGGTGCTGACCTGACCTTGACCTGAGGTCAACACCCTAAGTTGACCTGACCCGAACAAAAAGTATATCACTCGATGCGCCTGAGCTAGCTGAACACGATGATGCCAAAATCGCGGCTCTACGGCCATTTTTGGCGAAGTTATTTACCAAAAACCGAACCCGTGCCTTAGATCACTTGACCTGACCTCAGAGGTCACCGGTTGACCCGGGACCTTAACAGTGGGTTCCTACCAGTCACTCTGCATTATACTTTGTCGCAAACGACCACTTTACCGCTTAATTCTAGTTTAATTAGCGGCGCATTAGCGAGGTGGGTTCAATCAACCCCCTCGGCCGGGGCAAATGTAGGTCCGGCGAGTGAATTTGAGGAATTCTGAAGATACGATCGTGTTCCCCACTCAATTCTGCCTAAGATACCGGGTTCCGTATCTACGTAACTTGAACGTAAGGGATGCGGCGGCCGCAAACGTAAATCGAGGTCCCGAATTCCCTATTCCTCAACACAGGCGGCAGACGGTTTCTGGTCTGCGCAATATGGCCGCCACCGTTAGACACTACGGCCAATAGGGTTGAAGCGGCAGTGCTCCCCTGTGGTCGCCTCGCTTTCGGACACAGATTTCGGCCCGCTGACGCAAATGGCGCACCACGCGCTTCACATTCTCAGCGCATCCTCCTTGCAGCAAACCTCTCCACTGTGACCTGCAGCTCTATGAGGGTCACTGGAAGGGCCTCTGCTTGGGGCCTCCAAGACGACTACCCAAAACCAGAAGTCCATCGGCGAGAGATCAGGGCTCCAGGCTGGCCATGGCCGGTCAGTGAGACGGCTGATCACTCGTCTGTCTGCGCATACAAGGGTAGTTGGCAAGCTGCAATTGGCAAGCATTTGAGCTGACTGGAGTTTCAAAGTTTTCCCCAAAGGCTGCTACCGGCACTCCACAAAATTTTCTAACACATTCATCAAAAAAGCAAGGACAAAAAGAACTTGAATTACTGATATGTGTTTCTGAAGACTGGACAGTGAGCAGTAATCACATTCACATTTACATTTCACAGGTGTTCTGCTTTTCCACATTATCCTAAAATGTTGCAGGCACCAGCCGAATGTTTGAAATCTAGATGGTCAAAAGTCGAAACATAAAGTACAGATTCGGCCATGTTCCAACTGAGGAAGCTAAACCAACATCTGCTTTTTCCTATCCGTTATGGCTTGCTGATTCGTGAATAAGATACGAATCATGTAAAAAAATGTGTTAATAACTCACTTGTCCTGAGAACAGTCACCAAATAATATGTATAAAAACGATATAATGCCCCCTGTCGTCCAACCTCAAACTAAACGGGAACAAACACAAGGTTATCAAGGATTTCGAAACAGATGCGCCATAACAGAGGCTGATTACCAGCTGATTAAAATGCTGCAAAAAAAGTTTTACGACTGTAAACCTCGTGAATAATTATATTGATAAAAATGATCCAACACAATATTAATTTCTAACGAAATCAACATTGTAAGTGTAATTCACTACAAAAAAAATCATTTCTCTTCAGTAATTCAACCAAAAGAGCATACAAAAGGGTATATGAATAAATATTGCGTCATCAGATCACATCCATTCATCAGGGGAGAGAGAATCTTAAAAGTAAATCCTTGGTTGTCTTATTATCTGGCGCCACTTTGTGTCAATTTTGCCTTCATGTTGTGATTTCTTGTAAAGATAAGACAAGATGCCAGTTCAAATCCATTTTCATTTAACTATGGGACCAAAGTCAGTCTCAGGGCTACCTAACACCAGCCTTTTCAGCTGGATTTTCAGTGTCAAATTCTATGTAGAGTATCTCAGACCACATCTCAGGACTCAAGGCCAGTTTCCAAACAATGTTTTTTTGTGTTTTGATTCTACCTTTTCCCCTAGGGGTCATTAACCCGCGCCCCACTGGGGTGTGCGTATAACACGCCCTACTAGGAGGGGGGGGGGGCTCTTCATAGCCCCCCCCTCCTAACTCCGAAACTACTGGGCCGATCGTAAAAATTGAAACGGCATCTGATAGCCCGTGAAAAACTGTCGAGCGAAACCTAATTTCATTGACCTCAAGGTCACCGATGACGTCACAGGTCAGGTCAAAGTAAAAATTATTAGCATTTTGGTTTGTTCACATTTTGGGCTCTGGCCGCCGTCTTACAAGTCAGATCAGGCTCATTTTTGGTATACACACTCGTGAACAGATGCTCTAGATACCCTGAGGGTACCAAACTTGTACTTTGATTTTCAGGTCAGGGTCAGGTCATCACAGGTCACGGAAATATTATATCATGTGTCGGTCACGTGACACATGTTTTATGGTCCATTTAGGCCATAGATTTCGAACTTGATGTCGTCTATGTCATTCGAGGTCATTTTGAGTCGAATTTTGCTTAGGTCAGTCACTTTCAGATCACTTTGAGGTAAAAAAAGGTCAAATTTTAAAGTCGAAATTTTTCAACAAAAAAGTGTTTTTTGGATGCAGTTTAAGCTCAGGAACACGATGGTGCTATTTATATTGGTGTACGATGTCAAATACGTACTGAAAAATTGATTTGAAAAATTAATAATTGTGAATTTTTTGCTTTAATGCGTATAACTTGACCATTTTTGAAGATATTTAGCTAAAACTTGCTTGAGTTAGTCATAAGCATGTGTTCTATCATATATGTATATTCCGTTTTTTTCGAAAAGTCAAAAACTTTTTGAAAAAAATATGAAAATTTAGCCGGTCCCGTAGCTCAGTTGGTAGAGCGTTGGACTCCGCGTGGTGAGAGCACGCGTTCCCGGTTATAACAGTCCGGGTTCGAAGCGCGACGGGCGCTCGACATTTATGGGCCTCCTGACAGGTATGGTTGCGGTTGATAGCAGACCGTAGCCAGGCGAAGTCAGTGAGGGGACCGGCCGTGCGCGGCTATGTGCGCACGTTAAACTTTGGACTCTAAATTCTGCCATAGAACTGGAATTGCGCCATCGGAGGGTAAAGGGCAGGCAACAAGCTTCGCTTAGCGGTGGCTCTGTCCTTGTGAATCCTTCCTATTAAAAGGTTCGGACTAAATTTATAAAAAAAAAGTTTTGAATTTTATTATATAAAATGTTTGAAATTTTCAAAATTTTGAAAATCCGAGATAGCAGTTTGATAGCGCGATCTATTTTGAGTCCTCTCATGCAAAGAGATTGGATCTAGCTTAACCTTCGCCCCGTTGGGGGGGCCATTTTGGCCCCCCCCCCCAGTGGTTTTTCCTGAATAGCAAATTTTCAGTACCTTCCCGGGCATCAATTTGACACCTTCACACCAAATTTCAAGTCTTAGGTCACCTTAGGTCAGGAGTTATTGAGGTCAAACTGAGGTCATGTTCGAGCAAAAATGAGAAAAAACATGCAATTTTGAAACGCTCACCAAATCTACAGTTATCAAGCAATTTCAAAGTTCTTTATATGGTCTAGCAGACAAAAATTAACGCTACAAAACTGCTATCTCGGATTTTCAAAATTTTGGGTTTTTGACCCCCAAAAATTCAAAAAATTGATTTTTTTAGAAACTTAAAAAAAATCCAAATTTTTTCCGAATTTCGAAAAAACCGGAATATATGTGATAGTCCCTGCGCTGTTCTATATACATACCAATTTTCAGATCGATATCTCGTTTTTTGGCCAAGTTATAGCGAAAAAACTGTTCAAAATGATGACGTCAAATATTTGAACTCAATTTTTGGCGATTCTAGACCACGTACGGCAAAACAAAGACCACCATTGAACTCCCCGTGACGAGCTGCATCGATTCGATACCCATTTTATGCAAAATAGTAACTTTGAAATTTGACCTAATTTGACCTGACCTTGACCTGACCTTGACCAAAACGTGACCTAAGCTGGCCCCAAAGGCTGCCTGACCCACATAATCGCATTTGTCATGTAAAATGGGCCATAAAACATGTATCACACGACACTTTCATATTGTGACCCCCAGTGACCTGACCTCTGTGACTTGACCTTGTATCAGTGACCTCAAATAGCAAAATATGTGTTTGAAGAACATTTCCCCATCGATGATTTTCAATGAAATGCATTTTACTCGATTTTACAACGCATTTCTTAACCCTCGCCCGTATTGGTGTTTTTCCAGCCTTCGAACGTATAAGGGGGGGGGGGGTCCGTTGGACCCCCCCCTTGCCATTTCGCCCCTGATCGAGCTAGAGTTTCGCGGAAAAAACGAGAGCGTGTTGCCCGTGACGAGAGGAAGCCTATGACACCTAAGTTTAAGGTCCTAGGTCATTGGTTGACCTTGCAGGTCAGGTCAATGACCCCAACGTCGGGAAAATCGGGACCTGTTAGTACGTCGTAAAGTGTGGCTGCTATGGGAGTTTTCGGGGCGCTGATCACGAATATCATGTTAGTTTTGATCACAGATGATGTCTTTATGCATTTAGTCCAGGTCGGGTCAGGTCAGGTCAGGTCAACCAGTAGGGGTCCTGCCGGGTATTCCTAGTAGGTGTCAACCGCCTCTGACAGCTTCGTAACATGTTACGAAGGCACCAAAACTACTTCGTAAATGTTCATATGGTTGCTAAATTCGAATTCAGCTCCAAAAACTGGCCTAGAAACATGTAAAACTCGAAAAAGTGAACCGAGGTCACCAAAGGTCAATGACCTGACCTGACCTTCAGGTGACCTTGACACCAACTTTAATGCATGGAGGCAACATCATATCACATGTTTCAACGCTTGAAACCACGAAAAGACTGCAAACGCGCGGCTAATGCGAGCCGACATACGCCGAATCGCGATTCCGGCCAAACATGGTCTCGAAAAGTAGGTCACAGGTCAAAGGTCATTGGGGTCAGGGTCATGAAATTTTCAGGGTAGGTGTAAAATTGATTAAAGGTAGTGTGCCAGCTTTCCTGGACCGTATGGAGTTAATGGCCCAGATAAGGAGAACCGGATTTTTAGAACTTATCCATACCTTCAAAACTCATGGAAACGTCTTAAATTCTTCAAATTTTGAGTACCCCAGTGCGAAATTCGCCCCGACGGGTTGTCGGTCGTACCACAACCACATTTCACACCACTATGAACAATAAATGCACACACTGAAATCGCTATTACCGATATGCTCATCCAATCAAGTTTCGATAAACCCGTTCATCATCAGCTCCTGCGGTTTACGAACACGCCTGTTAGGTGGTGCGGTAGACCGCGCCCAAAGCCAGGGCCCCGGTAACATGAGGTAGCCGAGTCAGGGCAGCGTGCGCTGACCCAAGCCGGAGCCGCGCGTCCTCCCGGTGTCATGTGATAGCCCGGGGCTGCCCGCGGGGATGCGGTAGACCGCGCCCAAAGCTGCGGCCCCGGCTTGGGTCAGCGCACGCTGCCCCGACTCGGCTACCTCACGTTACCGGGGCCCTGGCTTTGGGCGCGGCTTCTGCTCATACTTTGTGGTGCGGTGGTGGCGCGTCGGGCTGCGCGCTCTGACTTCGGCCAAGAAAAATGCGTCAGCTGATCATGGTCATTTCTGCCACTTGCGTGTGGTGAAATGGGGTCATAACTTATGAGACGGCTTTTTCATATCAATTATTTTACATAAAATCATATTTCAAACCATAAATAATGTTCGACAGCCAAATAGAAGAAACAATACCAATACAGGCTTACAGTTTAAGGCTCGACATTGTGTTGTCTACGATTAGACAGCTGATAACTCATTCCCGTACGTCGTAACACTATAATGACCTTTGCTTATTGTCACATGTGCGCCGCATTCGCGATTGTTGCCGACGCCTGTTTGCAGGTGAACCCACTACAGTTGTTATACATATCGAAAAACCGATAAACTTTTAGGCGAAAAAGGCAATATTCCAGGCCCATTTTTGATTTTTTTGCGATATTAGGTAAAAACAGAAGCTTCTTATCCTAGGAAAAATAAAATGGGAAATCTTTCAAAGGTGGCACACTACCTTTAACGCGAGGGTACTGAAAGTTTCGTCGCGATCGGCCTCTTTTTACGCGAGTTATTCGCGAAAAACCATGGGGGGTCCGGTCGACCCCCCCCCCTATACGGGCGAGGGTTAAAATGCCTGTAAACGGTGAAAATTGGACCTTTGACCTGACCTGTGACGTCATCGGTTTGACCTGGGTCAATAAAATTGGGTCACAAGGTAGTTCCCTTCCCTGATAGGGCTATCCAACACCGTTTGCCGCTTGTCGCTAGGTTGCGTGGTTCTCGAGATCTTAGGGGGGGGGGGCCAAAATGCCCCCCAACGGGGCGCGTTGCTAGGCAGAGCCCAACGGGGCGCGGGTTAAAAACTGAGCTCTTGGGAGCGATTGCCGTGGTTCAATGTTTTGCGTCGAAATCGGCCGAACATGACGTCACTCTGACGTCATTTCCGGCCGACCTATGGTAGCTACGAAGTTCGAAGTTCATTTGACACAAGGTGTCAAATTGATGCAGCCGAAGGTACTGAAAGTTTGGCGTCGATACGTCAAGCGGTTTGGAAGTTATTGCAGAAAAGGGGAGGGGGGCTATGAATAGCCCCCCCCCCCCCCAGTGGGGCGCGGGCTAACATTTATTTATTTTATTGTACTATACCTATTACCTACCATTAGACTTACTAATTGATGGTGCTTTTGCAACATGACTGAGTATTCTTCCTTTTATAGACCACAGTAGATTCTTGACAATTCTAATTATGACCAAGCCTGTGAAATGCTGAGGTGAGATGTGTTACCCCTACCCTTAGCAATGTAACTTCTACCACAAAATGCATTTGCAGTGGCTAAGATTGCTGTTATTACAATTTCAGAGCCTCTTAGTGTCCAAAGTTTGAATCATATGCTGATATTTTTTTGGCACAAAATAAAAAATACCAGCATGCTACCGGCAAGACATGCCAGTTACCACGAAAAAACCTGCGGTAGTGAAAAATTACCGGCATGCCGGTAGTGCGGTAGGGAAATTTTGCAACTCTAGAGCTGACGTCGATTGCGGAGGGCTAAAACGAGGAGTGGCCGCTGTGCCCGCCCCCGTTGGTGTTCGTGTTAAAGATAGTATGTGCAATGTGCGTTCATGTTGCTGAGGTAGGTGGTACTCTGTGCATACGCATCTGCTCCACGCCCACACGAGCTTAGTTGACCCGGCTAACGAGGGGGGGAGGTCTCACTGTCGCATTACTCTGATAGCGAGACGGAGATAAGGGGGGGGGGGGGAGGTGTTGTCTGTCGACGTCGTTTTGTGCCGGTGTCTGACGGCTGCTGCCTATTGCCCCGCAGACACGGCCTGATGGCTGATCGCAGCTGCGCACCGGCCTGCATCCGCGACGGCGCCGACAGCGACAGTGACTAGCGGCCTGCCAGTCCGCGGCTCTGTCACACTGCCCGGGACCCTGTGAGACCGTCTGTGACTGTGGGACTGTATGTGGCCCAGTCTGCGACCCTGCCGGTCTGTGCGGCCAGTGGCCACACGTTCCGGCGCCGGCGCTTCCCGGCCGGCTGTGACGTCACGGCGCGTCCCGGTCGGTTGTGACGTCACGGCGCGTCCCGGTCGGTTGTGACGTCACGGCGCCGCAGCCCGGCGGGGTTTCCTGTGAATCACCTGGCAGGCCGCGCGGCGTGTGGCCGCCAGACCGCACTGCACTGACCGCACTGACCCCGCTCACCCGACCTGTCACTCGGCTGCAGCGTCAGTCGCCAGTGCGCATCGCTTCCCTGTCTGTAATCGCATTGTCATTGTAAGGTAGCTGACGTATAAGCTGCTCATATTTCACCATACATATGCATTGTACATTTAGTCCTTTGTGTTGCTTCAGGGTACCTATCAGGGATGCGGAGCCGGAGCCGGAGTCGGAGCCGGAGCCGCCGGAGCCGGCATATTTTGCCCGGAGCCGGAGCCGGAGCCGGAGCCGTGAAACAATATAGCCCGGAGCCGGAGCCGGAGCCGGAGCCGCCAAAAAAGGGGGCGACTCCGGCTCCTTTTTATTTTTTGAAGAGGAAAAAAAATAATTGACCTAGTTCGGTTTGACAGTACAAGGCAGTAAAACACATGGTACTTACGTCATGGGCCATCAAGTGAATGAAAAAATCCGAATATCCCCAGTATTCCACAGTACGCAAACAACTTCCTGTTTGCTCTCCCCCCCCCCCCCCCCACGTCTACTGCATCCCCAGAACATGAGGACCAGTCATCAGGTGACGGCCATTGTTTTCAAACCAGTGCAGTGGACTGCGACTCCCAGCACCGTCTCATCCCACCCCCCCCCCCACACCCCTCATCCCCCAATGCAGCCGAGACGGGTGTCAGCTTACGATCGTTCACTGAACTCCGATTCGCGGCGACTGCGTTTCCAATGCCATCGCTTCCTAGTTCCTAGCCCTTTGTTCTGCCAGTTCTCTCCGAGGTGCGTTTGCGCGGGGACGCGGTGAGCCGGTCATGGCAAAGAGTAACGCGTATAACCAATCCAATTTTCTTCCACCCGTATTTAATTGATTGCGTAGGGGATGTACTGAATCGGAGCCGGAGCCGCCGGAGCCGGAGCCGCCGGAGCCGGAGCCGCCGGAGCCGGAGCCGCCGGAGCCGGACCATTTTACTCGGAGCCGGAGCCGGAGCCGGAGCCGCCATAACATTTCACCCGGAGCCGGAGCCGGAGCCGGAGCCGATTTTTTTCTCCGGAGCCGGAGCCGGAGCCGGAGCCGTCTGAAATTTCCACGGCTCCGCATCCCTGGTACCTATTCCACGTCAAATCAAACACCGAAATCCGTCATCTCCTCCGATTTTTCTGAAAATTTGTAGGCAGACTGGGCATGGCTCAAAACCGTGTTACGTCTAGTAATTTCGAAATTTGATAACGTAAACTCCGTTTATACGAGACGGTGGCGTGGCTGAACATTACATAGTCAATTTAGTCGTGGCTCCACCTCGACGGAAGTGGCGCAAGATGTAGGCATACAGGGTGTCACGAAATTGATACGCGGTTGTGTATTGTGTTGTGTTTTGTGTATTTAATAAATCGCCAACAGACGTCCATCCATTATCAGGCGAAGTCGATGAATAAAAACACGGAACGAAAGCTAATAGACCAATACAAAAATGAATGCAATAAAAAGTTGCAAGACAATAAAAAGATAGCGAACATGTTATGAAAATCGAACATATGGTTACAAAAAGACATGGAACGGTGAACACATCAAACAGATGACAGTCTTGGTGAACGTTTGTGGTCAACGCCTGTGGTCAACAAAAACGGTAGCATACAGGGTGTCCCACAAGTTCGTTCTCACCTTATATTTGCATGTAAAACAGAGTACATTGCGTTTTGATGTTTATGACCCCTCAATGTGCTCCCCATTTCATAGGCAAACACATGAATACATGCTGCGGCATGCCAACCGGCATGTTTGGCAGCATAGCAGGCTTTAAGTTAGCCCAGACTGACTTGACATGCGCCGTGAGCTCCTCGAGGCTGGAACAGCGCTTCGCTTCGACGAGCCTCGATTTCAATATTTCCAACACATTTTTATGAACTTTGGATCCGATGAGTTGCCTGGGATGTGATCTTGCCACAGACGCCTATCACAGTCTCCTGGCACTGCTTTTATGCTTTGCTTGACCTCTGCACTGATGCACTGTCTTGCTTGAAGATGGGCCTACGACCTCCCGGATGCCATTTTCTCTTCAAAAATGTGTTCATGCTTGCGGTTCGAGTTAAAGGGACTATCCCACCTTCTAAAATGTTGTTAAAACCAGTTAAATTGTGCCCGACTTTATAGATTGGATGACCAGGAACACGGTTCTGGCATTTATTTTTCATTAAACATCTTAGGCTTCCCATATTCCAAACACAAACTTTCAAATATGTGACGTCACAGCCCAAAATTACCTCCTTCCCCAGGCCACATTACTGTCATAAAGCTGATTCTTTTTACTCTGTAGGCACCACAACAAAGTTCAGACCAAGTTTTAAGCGATTTTTCAACGAACAAACCCATTTAAATCAGAATGACTAAACGAGGTGACGTCACACTAACGGTCGCTCCATGTTGAAGATAGGGCCTTGTACAAGGCCCATTTTCAAATGAAGGGAACGAATTTCTTCAACACCAAGAGGCCGCGGGGGTTGCAACCCAGATAGATAGTGGTTTCTGAACCTCGCCGCAAACTTGGCTATCTCAACTCAAACCCCATGTTAAAGGTGGGATAGTCCCTTTTTAAGCTAGAAGGCTGAAACTCCTCCTAGATCTTCTTGGAGAAGCATTCTGCGTCCCAACAGTGTTTCTGGAGAATCAATCGCCTTTTGCATAGGAATAAAGCGGGATGACACGAAGGCCCTTTCCGTCGCCCATATGGGACCGTTTTGGGGTTTGGACGGGTGTTTTATCTCGAGCACGGACTAGGTAGTCCAGATGACCACATTGATGTCATCGGCCCTCCAGTTTTTTAGCATCAGGCATAACGAAACAAATGTTTGGCCATTTTAAGACATTTTCGACTGTTTTGCGTCCTCCGTTAAGTTTAAGCCCAAGTGACCGTGAGTTATGTACCCCGAAATAATACTCTTAGACAGCTGGTAATCCATCCTGAAAAGCCTGCTTACCAACTTTCTTACGCTAGGACCTTTTTGACGGCCACTTTGGCGCCACACAGTTTTGGCCACATGGCTCACTCCTGAGAGCTGACAAAAAAAAGAGCATAAACTTGCAGCGCTTGACTCCCGACAAATCATCGGCGTCACTTGCTGACTGTACATCCAGTTAGCGACAGACATTGGCCACAGACTGGATGGCCTCAATCACCCTCAACTGTCGCGAATGGCCCACGTGCGAGCTAAACACCGTGACGTACCCGTATCGGAGACCTCTATGTTGCGGCGTAAGCCGTCTCCTGCACAGGAAATGAACTCTCTAGCAAAAAATATTTTGTCTAGACGAATTATTTACCGTGGAGCATATTCACAGTTGCCATGGCAACCCCCAAAACTCAGTTACAAAATAAATTAAGCTTGGCTTTAAATAAGAGAGCCTCTAAAAAAATTAGGTGAGAAGGAACTTATTGGACACCCTGTGTACCTATAGAAACTCAGGCATTTTGCAAACTGCCTGGCCCGTCAGTCATTTTGTAAATTATCTAGGCAATTTGCAAAACGTCTGGTGGGTCAGGCAGTTTGCAAACTGCCTAGGCATTTTTTGCAAAATGCCCGCCCGAGTTTTCACTTTGGCTGTAACATGTATATATATATATATATATATATATATATATATATATATATATATATATATACAGACAGGGGGGCATGGGGGCCATGCCCCCTCCCCCCCCCTTTCCGTCCAGCCGCCCAGATGGCGCCCCAATTAACGCCGACTAGGCTGAAGACGTTTTACAGAGGGAACATGAATTAAAAAGTGATGTGCAGGCAGATATCGAACTCAATATCTCTTTAGGGGTGCCTGGACACCCCAATGTTCTCCAGGGCACCCCGAAATAGGACCTCGCCCCCCCCCCCCCCCAGTGTTGAAGGGCGCCCCTCCGGAAACCAAAATAGTCCGAAAACCCAGGGTCGATGGCGTCCCTGAAGGGCCGCTTGCACCCGCCTGAACGGAACAATCGCCCCATTAAAGACTGGTGGCGCCCCTCTAGAGCACGCGGCGCCCCTCTGAAGTTCACAGCTGCCCCAATCGGCCCCATCAAAAATCGATAGCGCCCCTTGAAACCACTGGCGCCCCTCTACAGGGCTGGTAAAGTGTTATGTCCTATTGACGTCGTCGGGGACACAGTACCAGTAAAAGTTCAAGTACCTGGGGTCAAAATTACCACATTTAATAAACTTTTACAGTAATAAATAACTTTTAAATAAAGCAGAAACTAAACGCAAGTAAAAGATATCATTGAATCCACAACGTATATCCCCTTTAACAAGGACATAAAAAGCCCCTATAGCTATACCTAATACATACCTACAACATGGTTATGAACAATTAGTAGCCACAACTCACTTCCGTTAACAGCAAAACTACCGTCGACAGTTGCTAACGAAAGATCAAACTAGATGATCAAACACATAGGTACTAACAGACGCTTAGACACCGACCCCGCTGTCGGCTGTGCTATTTCAAGCGGGGTTGATTGACGACCAGTTGTAGCCAGCTATACGACTAGACAAACGACTAGATTCGGAACCGGGGTCAGACCGGTTGGACATGGTAAATTCATGCGGGGTCGACAGTTTCTAGCCGTCGTCGTTGTGAGCTACCGATACAATAGCGACACCTATTGCATCTGTTCGACGATCGTAGCGCCCCCTACCCTTTCCGGGTTCTTCGTCTGTTACGCTACCCGCTGACCGAGTGATGCCGTGACATTTAATTAACAAACTGGAAATTTCGAAGCGCGAGTCTGATAAGCAATTTAGTACATATGACTGCTCGTAAAAAATAATATAGAAATGAAACCTAAGGAAACGCGCATCGTAGTTGCATGCAGCCTGCATACATGAATCGTAAAAAGGTCGGGGTCATTTTTCGCTCTCATTTTTTGGTCGGGGACGCAATTTGCTTTTTTACCAGCCCTGCCCCTCTAAAGCACCCGCATTCTTCTCAAGATCACAGTCGCCCTATCCGAGATCAATAGCGCCCTCAAGAACCACTAGCGCCCCCCCCCCCCTTGAGACTGAAGTCGTCCCGCTTGAGGCTAGAGTCGCCCCATTCAAGCCCAATGACGCCCCTCCAGAGCGTCCGGCGCGCTTCTGAAGATCACAGTCGTCCTCATCCGAGGTCGCTGGCGCCCCTCAAAAGTCACTG